TTTTTATTAATAAATAAATATTAATCAGTCATAAAAATAAATACTAATAAATAATTTTTGTATATTATTTTAATATTTATTCATATATATCACATATTTAAATGTCACATCATTAAAATGATGTCAAACTATTAAATAATGTCAAATTTTAACGATCAACGAACATCGAATTGATAAGTATATTAATATTTTGTATTTTACAAAATATGAGGACTAAATATCTTTATTTTAAACTAACATAACTAAAATTACAGATTGAAAAAAATAGAAGAACCCATAGTATAATTTAGCCAAAAAAAAATATGTTATTTAGTTGCATATCCATGATAATTTCGTTTATATTTAAATATTTTTTATTTGTAATATATATATATATATATATTAGTCATTTTAAATTTTAGTTTCAATTATATTCCTGTATTTTTTATATTTTCTTCTTTATTGTCAAATTGAGCATTAAATATAATAAATAAAAAATAAAACATTACTCCATCCAAATTTAAAAAAGACCAAAACAAGAAAAAATAAAATTTAAAAAAATCAAAATGAAAATAAATTTTATAAGTTTAATTTATAAACCTTAATTTGCATAGATAGAGAGTAAAAATTCTAAACTTTTAGGCACTAATTATTATTATTATTTTTTAAAAAAACAACTTTAGGCACAAAGTTTTCTAGAAGTCATGTAATGACACAACTACCTTCAAGTTATGAGAATAAAAATAATAAATAGGGAATAACAAAAACAAAACATAAAATAAGACTAAGATAAATTCAAGTGAATGTGTCATTGTCATGATTTGAAAAATCGGATCGATTAGCTAATTCGATTAAATCGATTGAAAATTGATCTTTAATTGATTCAATTATGTCATAAAATTGTTTTGCATAGAATTGGTAGAAAAATCAACAGAATTGATCAAAATCGGTTAGAATTGATCTAATTATTTTTGAAAAGAAATTTAGAATTTAATATAAAATATTTTTAATAAAGATATTAATTAATAAAAATTTATAAATTAGAATAACTTATTTTTATTGCTTATTTTATAAGTATAATTTAATTATTTATGTTAACTTATAATTTTTTATATTTTTATTTTTTATAGTTTATATTATATTAA